TTTACAAATCTGGCAATTATTTGTTCCTCCCCCCTCTTCTGTTGGTTTTTTTTTTTTTTACCACTTTCATTATTAGCAATTAGCCGTTAATTAGGAAATTACAGGGTACACATACTTTTATTTGTAAATGCTGTTAAGATAAAACATAGTATAAAACCCAGAACAGTATCTATCAGCACGACACTGAAACATTTGAGCCACAGATGTTCTCTCACATTAAAGTACAAAAATGCAGAGGGAAATTAGATACCAGATAGACCAACAGTTTGAAGGAAGAAGGAGCCAAAATGGGTGGTTTGTCGTGGTTATTGAGCACACTCTGGTTTCCAGCATCCTGCAGGGAGACCCTGTGTAGACTCTGCACAATAAGGACTTCACTCTGATTTTCTGAATGAGAGGTATGTAGTTTAACTGAATGATGCAAATGAGAGTCGAGAGCAAAAGATGATTGTAATAGATGAAGGCAGAAGTAAAATGAACTTTACAATGAAAGCAATCACGTATCTCTTGACATTTGGAGATGGAGTTAACCTATGCAGGAAGAACGTGTGGCAGTTTGTAAAGGAATAGTGATGGTATTTTTCAGGACCATTCTTCCACGAGGACCTCTCTCTTGTCTGACCACCTCCCCTCTCCTTTTCGTAGGTAAGTTCCCATCCCTCCTCTGCCTGCAGCTCGGCGCTTTCTTGCCCTCCAGATCCCCTCCAAGTTGTGAGCTCTTCCTCCCTCCCCATCTGCACTCTGACGTCCTCTGTGGTTTGGACAAGTTCCTCCTCCTCCAGCAGCAGAAGCCTCAGCGAAGCCCAGGGGTCCCTGGGCAGCAGTTAGGGAAATTCCCCTTTTTTTTCCCCTCAGAAAGTGGGTATTTCAAGAGCAGGGCCGGGGTTGGTCAGGACTCCTGAAGATGGGGTCAGAGAGCTGGGCCCACCGGGGGAGCGCCCCCCCCAGCATATGTGCTCACTGCAGACAGAGTGCCACGTCCAGGGCTTTCTTCTTCTTTGCTGACAGAGATTGGCAGATTTAGAAGTCTTGTTTTTTTAGCAATGTAAAGCATTTTCAGAACAATTTTAAAACCGACCTACTTCTTTGCACTCTGAAAAATTCTGCAAATTTACCATAGTCTGAGAAAATACTAGTTTAGATACGGAAGTTATTTATTAAGCATCCTCATTTTTAGGAAAACCTTGTTATAACATGGCAGATAGTTACATAGCTTCTGAAAGCCTGATGAAATAGGCTGCCTATATTGAACTTTCATTCTTAAACTGACTTCATAAAAGGTTTCTAACGTAGCTCTGGGCCATACTAATAGTATACTTGGGGAAGCTAGGCAGTGCATAAATCCTTTGCCATGAATGGGTTCATTGTCTAAAAATAATTTTTAAAAATACGTCCTGGAAGCAAAAATTAAATATAGGTACTATATATAGTACATATATTAGTTATATACATATTGTATATGATATTAAGTATACAGCATTGTACATCCATGGCCATATATAATACATAAAACGTTATATAGATGTTACATATAAGTATATATATACACACGTATATATCCTGAAAAGTCAGTAAAGTTTTTTAACATGCTTAAATTGTTTTAATTTAAATAATGTATGTTTTTCAGTGCCAGTACTTTTAAAAGCTCGTTTATTCATTTGACAAATATTTATTGATGCCCTCCATGTTCTGGGCCAGAGGTCAGCAGACCTTTTCTGTAAAGATTTAAACTTAGTAAAGAGTTTTGGCTTTGCAGTAGTACTGTTGCTGTCGCAGCTACCCCGCTCAGCCTTTGCAGCATGAAAGCAATTTTAGACAATACGTAAATGAATGGGCATGGCTGTGTGCCAGTAATACTTTATTATGGATTCTGAAATTTGAATTTCACATAATTTTCATGTGTCACAAATCACTATTCTTCTTTAAAAATATAAAAACTTTTTAAATCATGGCTATATAAAAACACGAACCGTAATTTGCCACCCCCTGTTCTCAGCAGTCTTCTAGACACAAAGATAGAGCAACGACCAGAGCACAGTCCCTGTCACCACAGGGCCTGCCTGTGCTCTAGTCGTCTGCAGCTCTTTCAGTATCGCTAATTCTGATAACCGAAAGAATATTGCCTTTCTGAGTTAGATGGACTCTTTCTCACCGCATAGTTCCAATTTTAATGTTTCAGCTCATTTGACTTTGAAAGTGCATTTGGCACGTATCTGCTGCTTAGTAATATCCTAGTCGGGAGCTTCTTTTCTGTATCGTGTCACCTCCCAGCCTGCATTTTTCTGCCCTGCTAGCATCTCGTCACCTAGCTTGTACAAGGCCGCGTGGGGTGCAACGTCGGGCCGAAGTCTTTGAATCCCAGCGCACAGCTGCTGTGGCACAGGCGCTCGGGGCCGGGAGCAGCTTCTCACTTTGTCCTTCCCACGCACGGCAGCTTCAAGGTGCTTATTGCCACTGTCGTCTTTGTGGCCTGTTTCAAGACACCAGAGCGCTCTGTTGAGGAGCTGGCCCCGGCGCATCCTCACTCTAGTGCCGGTTGCAGGGTTCTTTCAAGGCAGTTTGTAACAAACAGGCTCACGCTTTCTATTTGTAGTAGCTATGGAAACTTTAGAAGCTCTCTTTCTAAAGCTGAGCATACAATGAAGCACTTGAAGTGTTGGTGGGATTAGAGACTTTAGAAGATGTTTAATTTTCTCCCCCACTCTTTCTTTCTTTCTGTCTCTTTAGAGAGGGAACAAGAGGGCAGTGTGAATATTAACTGGGACTCGCTTTAATCTTTCTTGTGACACTTAAGGCTGTCTAGGTCTGCACAGGCTACCCAGGGCTCTCAGCCTTTCACCGCGCGCTAACAAGGAGAGTCATGCATATTCATGAGCCAGGCCTGTGCATTAGACACAGTTCCTAAGGGCTGCATCTCCGTGTTTCTCTGTTCAACTCAAATTTTATGAAAGGAACAGCTATTAAAATTTGGTTTTTAAATGATTATTAATAATAATTATTATTATTATTGTTATTGTCTAGAGACCTTAGACAGCAATACTAAAGTATTCTCCCTAGAAATAGGAACAAATTAGAGGGCGTTTGTGTGGTAGTATAGACAGTGTAAACCCCAAAATGTTGGTGCTCACTTAGGGTGGAGATGTAGAGCGAACCTTTCATGTCTCCCTGAGAAAAGTGTACGGCAGAACGTGGCATTCTCACTTGATGACATCCTCCCAAAGAGGAAGTAAGATTGAGTTCGCTTACAACATAGAAAATGTGAAGTAAACCTTTAACTGAAAAGGATAGGTTTGTTCATTTGTTATTTCTGATTTTCAAGATACTGAAAAGGAGTTGATTCCAATGTGGTGGTGTGGCCGTGCTTCTCCCAGCCCCTGCCACTCTCTCCATTTACCCGTCTTTTTGCCCTTAGAATACCAATTTTGGAAGAAGACAAAAATGCTTTTTCTGCTTTGGACTTCACTGCTTCTATCAGGCTGTCCATTTGGTGGCTATGCCAAGAATCTACTCCTTGTGAAATTCTTGACTATCACATTTTGTTCCTGAAGTCATGCTGGCCCAGCTGGGAAAAATGCCTGTGCCTGGGTGAGGTGCTTGGGCACATGTGGGTCTGCTCCTCAGGGGAGTTGTCATTAATCTCGTTCTCTTCTGTGGTCCTCTTTTCCTATATATACAATGGGGATCATGTAAGTTTTTCTACAGAAATTAGCTACCAAACACTTTAAGGGTGAGATGCTATTAAAATACCGTAACAGTATTTTCACAGAATGTGATAGTTGCCTCCCCTAGATGAACATGATTACAATCCGCCTTTTCATCCATCCACGTGGGATTTCTCCTGGTGTTTTGTTGTCATGGACCTCTTATTTACACAGTCCAGCTTCCTTGCCTGGGTTGCATTTATATTGGTTTACTTTCATCTAATCTCTCAACCCTGCAAAGCCCTGAGTCAGGAAACCACACCAAGAACAAAAAGGAAGAGCACAGCCTGTGTGGGTCACTGCAGTGCCACCCCGGCCCCACCCACAGAGTGCCTGGGAGATAGCGGTGACTTCTTCAGACATCCAGCAAACATTTCCCAGCACCATGCTTGAAGCAGAGGACAGAGGGGTGAATAAGACATCAGACTTGCTTATGAGGAGTTCACAGGGTTTCAGGGCAGACATAAATATAAATAATGTCAGCAGACACATATTGATAATCCACTTTGTGTCAGGAACTAGACTCGTGCTGGGGATGTAGAGATGAATTAGGCATAGTTCCTGCCCTTGAGAATCTCACAGACACGTAAACAGATGAGTACAGTGCCATGTGATGAGAACTATTAGAAAAAGAGAATGCTTTGGAAACACAGCAGGTGTGCCTAACTTAAGCAGGTGCAAGGGGTAGCCAGCACAGTGCAGGAAGGCTTCCAGGAGGAGGTAGAGTTTAGCTGTCTTGACGAATAAGTATGCCCTATGAGAAGGGAAGGGGCAGGTGAGGGTGGGGCGTGTCCCACGTCAGGGGCTCACATCTGGAAAGACGGAGATGACACCCAGCGTTATGATGTTGCTGGAGCCTCAGATGGAAATGGCACTTGGCGAGAGAGGTCTGCGGGGACCATTTGGCAGAATCTTGTTTGCCCTGTAACCGAGACAGTTTGATAATTTGAAGCTCTGGATGATGGTTCTTTCCTCCAGAGACATTCTGCACGTGCAGCTGGCAGTGACAAGGCTGGCATCAGATTCCTTGATTACCGAGCCAGCCAACTGTCCAATTTTCAGGAGCTCTCAATGCGTTTATGAGAATTTCTCTTTTCCTACTTTCAGTCATATTGAAGTGAATAACCAGGAAGCTTCAGAAAGAAGACACATTTTGCTTCTGTCCTTTAGCATTAGGGAGTTATACACATGAACTAAAATTCTCCAGTCTTATACATTTTCTTGCCTAAATTTACTCCTCAAATGTTTGCTCCTCCAGTCAGTTCTCATGATCACTGCCTCCCCCTTTTCTTACAAAAAGTGAGGAAGTGAGTTCGTGTAATGATGATGTCATTCCGAATGAAAAATTAGTCGCAGAAAATTACTCATTGTCAGAAAATCATTTTCTGCGACTAATTTTTCATCCGGAATGAAATTTTCATCCAAAATTCACTAACATGTTGCAAATTTTCCTCAACCTGGGATCATTATTTTTATTCTCTATACTGGCACAAAGTGGGGGTTCAGTGCTTGTGGAAAAGAGGGAGAAATTCAAATTTAGGTTTTATTCATTTGAATATTTATATAGATTCTGTCTCTAGAAAAGAAATACAGCCTTATAATGGACCTGGGCTTTATCATGAAAGGAAGGCAGATAAATGGCAAAATGAGAACATTTTTTCCTCACCCAAGACCTAGACTAGTTATAGAATCACCGTTAGCTGGGCAACAGCAGTGCCTATTCTGTGCCATCTGGGAAAGGTTAGTCATTTATACCACCAGTGGTTTTGATGATAAACCTCCAGAGACCGCCGGGTCATTCACTCGATGAATGTTTGCGTGCCCTCTTCTGAGTCTCGGTCCCTGTGCTGGAGGAGCTGAGGGAGGCAGGCCAGCGGGCAGCCAGGGCCAGTGCGGAGTTAAGTCCGTGACTGGGGAAGCACAGAGGGCCGCTCAGGGACCCTGGCCTGCTGGGGGGAGCCAGGAAGGCCTTGTCAGGATTTCGGACCAGCTGGGAGTGTACTGGAGGGACAACGGAGCAGCCTTTTGCAACCCCAGCAAACAGGTCCTGAACATAAAACCGCCCGTGTTTGCTGTGTTTCAGTCATCTAACTTTAGTGGACAGGCTCATTTTTTACTGTTTTCCTTTGAGGTTATTGAGCTAGGAAAATAGTTTGATTCACTTTCTTTCCCAAACACGGTAAGAAAGAACCACAGGCTTGATGCATGCTGAAGCGTTTCTCTGTGGCTTCCTGCCTCAGGTTGAGGGAGCTGGAAATGTCTTGGCACCAGCCTCGCGCTGGCTGGGAACCTGGTCGGGATCAGAAGCGTTGACTCTCAGCTAAAGACTTGAGACCTTTTGGGGGCACAGATGCCCCTATCCTGCATCAGAAATGCCTGTGTGGGAAACATCTGGTACTCAGGGGAAGGACTTGTTTTGCCTGCTCCCTTCCTTCTGATTGTGGGCAGGAAGGCCTCTTTGCATTGGAAAAGGTGTTTTCTTCCACTTTCTTGGTCCCTCTGGACCGATAGAGAGTGCCAGGCCCACTGTTCTTGGCTTCTTTTATGTGTCCCTGGATGCAACGCTGAAGACTGACCCTTACAGCAGCTTTTATGACCTTTGATAGAAAGATGTATAGTAGCAATTTAATGCTTTCGTGAGGTTTACACAGGTCTTGGTACTAAATAAAAGACCTCAGTAAATAACTCCGTGATTCTATCTTTTTTATAAGTTGTCTTCTGTCTGCTGTGAAGGACACTGTGCAGAACATTTAAAAGTAGGGCCGGGGCTGGGGCCGGCCCTGTGGCCCAGTGGTTGAGTTTGCACACTCTGCTTCGGCGGTCCAGGGTTTTGCCAGTTCAAATCCTGGGTCAGACAGGGCACCACTCATCAGGCCATGCTGAGGCGGCATCCCACATGCCACAACTAGAAGGACCCACAAGTAAAAATACACAACTGTGTACCGGAGGGCTTTGGGGAGAAAAAGGAAAAATAAAATCTTAAAAAAAATTTTTTTTTACATAGGGCCAGGGCACAAGAAGGCAGTGAGGATGAGCTGCCTTCTCGAGAGCACGAGCATTCAGATTAACAGAGCCAATTCTTCAGAGTCTGTCTCGCTTCACCATAAAATGCAGACGGAGGGGAATGCCATGGTGGCTCCTAGGAAACAGTTCTTGTTTATAACCCGGCTTACTTTACACAAGATGATTTCCTTGTCTGATTCTGGCCTGGCATCTTTGTGACCTCCTCTATCTTACTCTTATTCTTTCCTTGATGACTCAGTAACAGAATTATCCACTGTGTGCGTGTGTGTGCACGCATGTGTACACTTGTGTTCATAAACCTCAGATGTGGCTACTCTAAGCCTTTGCTTCCTCCTTCATTCTTTCAACAAATCCTGGTTGAGTTCCTCTGGGTGCCAGTTTGCCAGTTGCTGAATATCACACACATACACACACGTTGGATGTACACGTGCATGTGTATGTATTTTATCTTTTTAATTATTTCCCGCTTTGGGTGCATAGTCATAGCACACACTCAAGAAGACTTGTTAGTTGAGTCTAGATTTCCAGTGTTGCTGTGCTCCTCTCTTCTCTCTCCAGTAATGTTCATGGAAAGTTCTAAAACAGGGAAGTCTGCTGGCAGATTCCTTCACTCTGGTTCCAGTTCTGACCCAGTGGGTGGTGTACGCCGTCCGAAACCTTACGGAAGACAATAGTCAAAACCAAGATTTGATTGCAAAGATGGAGGAGCAGGGGCTGGCAGACGCATCTCTACTTAAAAAAATGGGTTTTGAAGTTGAAAAGAGGGGTGACAAGCTGATTCTGAAATCGACAAATGACACCCCTCCACTGGTGAGTGTGTTGGCATGAGCTGTAATTCCTTTCACCTTGTAGATGGCGATTCCCCCTGCCCCATTATCTTGGACATGACAAGGTTCTTTCGTAAGAACATGAATGGGAGCATTTTGCCTTCTAAAGTGGCAAAGAAAGCTCTAAATTTAATTGCAAATAATTCTTTGTTTAGGCATTATGCTACCATTTTCTAAGAAGAGTCAAAATTTCAGTCTTGTTCTAGGGGAGAAATATAAAATCATACCAAAATTTTTATGTGGTCTGAACGTTTCTGACAGGAATGAGATTTTCTTTAAAGATAGCTTAATGTTGACTGCAATAAAAAGAACGTAAAACTTCTTGTATAATATTGAATGAGTTGTTTCAGGTTTCACTCAGTTATTTCTCACCATCAACCAAAATCCTCTGTGTTTTTTTTTCCTTTGATGATTCTTGTAAATAGATGTTATATCTGCAATTTTGTTTCTTTTTTCTTCTTAGTGAATAACTCTCCAGACAAATATCTGAATTTTTGGAATCTGTTTCATGGATTTTTCATCTTCTGCAGTATGTGACATTGCAAGTGTTTGAAGATTTATTAAGTACAAATTCAGGAAAACATGAATCTTTTAGATAATAGAGTTAAATGCATATAAGCTTAAAAGTGAAAGTACGTGAGTATTCTGTTTCTTTGCTTTAGAAACGTAACTGTCTGGTTTGCCTTTGTCCCTATGGATACACTGTGCGTTTAAGTAATATATTGTACTTACTGTGGCAGCAGATAATAAATTCTTCTCGTTGAGGGCACATCCCTTATTTGGCAAAGACTTGGATGTTTGCTTGGATTCCATTTGCTCCTTCAGATGGCAAGTCAGCTTCGTTCCTTTTTATTTGCCTCTTCTCATTGGGTTTTCTGAACTCTGGCAGGCAGTTGAAGTAGTTTCTCACTGTGATTAATTCTAGCGATCTTCTTTTCACCCCTTCTGCCTTTCCAAAACATTGACAAGACTCATTTCCAGTTAATTAATTCGAGAGATGCTGAAGAATAGGGAGCTCTCCCTCTTTATTTTACGTCCTGGGCTATGTTGTCACCGAGCCCTGTCCCTTTGGAATGTAGCAGGGAGTGAGATGGAGAGAACATGTGGGCAATTAACTCTTCTCATTCCAAATCGTCCTAGAACTAGACTTCTCAAGCCTGCGTCTTACCCACCTTCATGCCTCTGTGAAAGGAGAAGGAGTAATATAGGGTCATCTCTTTGCAGGGCCACAGCATGGAAGCTACATCCCTGTCTCCTTCAGTTTAGAAAGCACCAGTCTGTGAAGGCACACCACTCGGTTTTGGCCGTGGCTTCACTGGCGTTGCAAAAGTAGCTTTGGGCAGCAAGAGTTAATTTGACCTATGTCTGTCTGTCTCTCTGTCTGTCTCTCTCTCCCCTCACTCATTAGAGATAGAACTGGAGTAAGTGAGCACTAAAATCTTTGTAACCACCCAGATCGTTAATATAATCAACAGACACTCTAGTGGGAGGCCATATTGTGAATGCTTTGAAACACTATTTTCTTGAACAGCCATGTTAGTAAACTAAAACTTCTAGAGATTTTGCACAGTTCGTGTTGAACCTTCCAAAATAAAAACAACAAAAACCCAACCAGAAGTTATGCAGAAATACTGATTGTTGCAAAGTAAAGTGCTTCTGAGTTTTTTGTAAAGCTTACTTCAATTGCTTTGTGAAAACAGCTTAAGCGTGTTAAGAATGAAATAAAAGTTTTCCCATGTGCTACCTAATGTACTCTATATAACTCTGAAGAAATGTCAGCTTCTAGGATTTTGGTAATCTATGAGTAACACTTTTTCTCTCATTTATGACATTCCATCAGTAAAGAAGCCATTGCAAAATTTAAAATGCACAAAGAAGTCATTCTCTTCTGGAACACAAAGAGTTAAAATCCTATTTTCTAAAAAGAAGCCAGGCCAAAGGAAAAAAATCAGTGGGAGTCCCTTTTTCCTTTTAACAAGTTTGCAATAGACACTTCTTTTTTCCTCTCTCAATGGATGTATGCACACCAGTAGAATCACACAAACATGTCGATATAAGCCATGTAATAACAAACACCAATAAATAAAAGAGAGCCTTGTGAGGATACAGAATAGGGTAATGGTTATGTGTTTCCTAGATAGGAAATGTGGGGCTCGCATAGTGAAAACATGCTGATGGCTGCATTGTGGCGGCTTTTGATGCCTTGGATAGATTAATTCTTGAGCACAACAGCTTCCCTGTCCTCTCCCAGCGGACCTGGAGCTTCTGAGAAGCTTGTTTTACAGGCTGCAGAGGATTAAGTCACCACCTCAGTCAGTCATTTAGAAGAAAAAAAAGGCAGGCAAGCCTTACAAAATTTGTAAAGAGAAAGAATGGTCACAGCAAGGTTTGTGACCATATTATTGCTTTCAAGAGCAGACTGACAAAGCAGTTCAGTTTTTTAGCCAGCTTCATTTTAAAAGATAGTGGGAAAGGCTTTTCTGCTTGACATTGAGTCCAAATATTTGCAGAATGATTTTTTTTAATACCATAACAATGGATGTTAGTATTTGAAAAATATTTGCTTCTCAATTTTAGTAATACATTA